TGGTGCAGTATAAACTGGTTTACAATGTGCAGTATAAACTGGTGCAGTATAAACTGGTTTACATTGTGCAGTACAAACTGGTGCAGTATAAACTGGTTTACACTGTGCGGTATAAACTGGTGCAGTATAAACTGGTTTACACTGTGCGGTATAAACTGGTGCAGTGTCAACTTGTGCATTACAAACAGGTTTGTGTGCGCTTTGAGTGGTCAAAAAGACTAGAAAGGCGCTATACAAGTGCAGAGCATTTACATTTTTACATTTACTGTGCAGTATAAACTGGTGCAGTATAAACTGGTTTACATTGTGCAGTATACAGTAAACTGGTGCAGTATAAACTGGTTTACACTGTGTGGTATAAACTGGTGCAGTATCAACTGGTGCAGTATAAACTGGTTTACACTGTGCAGTATAAACTGGTGCAGTATAAACTGGTGCAGTATCAACTGGTGCAGTATAAACTGGTTTACACTGTGCAGTATAAACTGGGGCAGTATAAACTGGGGCAGTATAAACTGGTTTACATTGTGCAGTATAAACTGGTTTACATTGTGCAGTATAAACTGGTGCAGTACAAACTGGTTCACACTGTGCAGTATAAACTGGTGCAGTATAAACTGGTTTACATTGTGCAGTATAAACTGGTGCAGTACAAACTGGTTTACAATGTGCAGTATAAACTGGTGCAGTATAAACTGGTTTACATTGTGCAGTACAAACTGGTTCACACGGTGGGGCGGCTGTGGCTCAGGTGATAGAGCGGGTTGGCTGTTAATTGGAAGGTCGGCGGTTCAATTCCTGGCTCCCCCCTGGTTGCGTGTCGAAGTGTCCTTGGCCAAGATACTGAACCCCGATTTGCCCCTGGTGGCTGTTCCGCCAGTGTATGAATTCAATTCAATTCAACTTTATTTATATAGTGCCAAATCACAACAACAGTTATCTCACAGCGCTTTTCATAACAGAGCAGGTCTAGACCGTACTCTGTGATGCTATTTACAGAAGCCCAACAGTTCCCACCAAGAGCAGCACTAGGAGACAGAGGCAAGGAAAAACTTCCTTTTAAGAGGCAGAAACCTCGAGCAGAACCATGGCTCAGGGTGGGCGACCATCTGCCTCGACCGGTTGGGGTGAGAGAGAGAGAGAGAGAGAGAGAGAGATGTAAGGAGAGAGAGAGGGGAGGGAGGCAGCCTACACAATATACACACAGAGGTACAGACAGTAAAGGTAATGTTGCTATAGACTAAATGAAAAATGGTACAGATATTTATAATAGTGTTAATGGTAACAGTCGTAATGTTAATGATTATAATAACAATAATAACAATAAGACTAGCAACAATAGTCGTTGCAGCAGAGGGTGTCGAGCAGGAACACGGGGGCAGCAGGTGACCCGCAACCACAGATCCAGACTCCACAGCTCCAGAGCCAGAAACACCTGCAGGAAGTGATAGGAGAGAGGAGAGAGACGAGAAAGCACAAGACTACCGGAAAGGGGAGAAGTTGTGTTAGTAACATGCAATAATGGGATGAGGTTGCATACAGAGGGAGAGAATGTAGAGGAGAGAGGAGCTCAGTGCATCATGGGAAATCCCCCGGCAGTCTAGGCCTATAGCAGCATAACTAAGGGATGGTTCAGGACTCACCTGAGCCAGCCCTAACTATAAGCTTTATCAAAGAGGAAAGTCTTAAGCCTACTCTTAAATGTGGAGATGGTGTCTGCCTCCTGAACCCAAACTGGAACCTGGTTCCACAGGAGAGGAGCTTGATAGCTGAACGCTCTGGATCCTAGTCTACTTTTGGAGACTCTAGGAACCACAAGTAACCCTGCATTCTGGGAGCGCAGTGCTCTGGTGGGGTAGTAAGGTACTATGAGCTCTTTAAGATAAGATGGTGCCTGACCATTAAGAGCTTTGTAGGTAAGAAGAATGATTTTAAATTCTATTCTGGATTTTACTACTTAACGTAACTTTGGCGTGCATGGAGGACTCATCGTTAACATGTACAAACTGAAATCGATCTGATAAATAGGACTTAAACCAGCTTAGAGCGGTTCCTTTAATGCCAATGAAATATTCCAGTCTCTGCAATAGGATCTGATGGTCAATGGTATCAAATGCAGCACTAAGATCTAATAAAACCAGTACAGAGACAAGTCCTTTGTCTGATGCAATAAGGACGTCATTAGTAATTTTCACCAGTGCTGTCTCTGTGCTATGATGAGCTCTAAATCCTGACTGAAAATCCTCAAATAAACTATTGCTCTGTAGAAAGTCACACAGCTGTTTAGCAACTGCTTTCTCCAGAACCTTAGAGAGAATGGAAGCTTAGATGTAGGTCTATAGTTGGCTAAAACATCCGGATCAAGTTTGGGCTTTTTCAGAAGAGGTTTAATTACAGCTACTTTAAAGTACTGTGGTACATAGCCTGTTGATAAAGATAGATTGATCATATCTAGTATAGAGGTGCTGACTAAGGGTAAAACATCTTTAAGCAGCCTAGTCGGGATGGGGTCTAAGAGGCAGGTTGATGGTTTAGATGAAGGAATTATTGAAGTTAGTTGGTAAAGATTGAGGGAAGCAAAACAGTCTAAACATGTATCTGGTTCTACAGCTGTTTCTAAGGTTCCTGAGTTTAGAGAGAAGTTGGTGCCAGGTGAGTGTATGAATGTGTATGATTGGTGAATGCAGATGTAGTGTAAAAGCGCTTTGAGTGGTCAAAAAGACTATAAAGGCGCAGAGCATTTACATTTTTACATTTACTGTGCAGTATAAACTGGTTTACATTGTGCAGTATAAACTGGTGCAGTATAAACTGGTTTACACTGTGCAGTATAAACTGGTGCAGTATAAACTGGTTTACACTGTGCAGAATAAACTGGTGCAGTATAAACTGGTTTACACTGTGCAGTATAAACTGGTGCAGTATAAACTGGTTTACACTGTGCAGAATAAACTGGTGCAGTATAAACTGGTTTACACTGTGCAGAATAAACTGGTGCAGTATAAACTGGTTTACAATGTGCAGAATAAACTGGTTTACAATGTGCAGGATAAACTGGTGCAGTATAAACTGGTTTACAATGTGCAGTATAAACTGGTGCAGTATAAACTGGATTACACTGTGCAGTATAAACTGGTGCAGTATAAACTGGTATTAACTGGTGAAACTGGTATTAACTGGTATTAGCTGGTATGTGCTGGCTCACAGTTTGATCTCTTGTCTCTGAACTTTAATCCTGTTTAATTGCGCTCTGAATAATAATGAACAGCTCTTTAATCAAATGTTTGCCGCGTTTGTTCTTTACTCTGTCAAACAAACTGATTGTGTGAACAAAAAGGTCAACGCACCGTCCTTCACTGTTTACACACCAATCACAGCCAGAGAATAACGCAGCACTGTGTGAGTTTTAATCAGTCCAGCTTCCTGCCGACCAGGTAACACAGCAGAAACACTGCCGCTTCGGTTTTCTCCTCATTTCTGCCTCCAGCGGCCCGAACGCCTCATTTACCTTCTGCTGTTGCAGATTTCACCACATCCAGACCCATTCAGGAGCAAGTTGTGTCCCGTCTGAGCGGGTTTTAAACACACCGCGAGTCCATTTCATGCAGGAGGTGGAGGCTGGTTATACTGAGCAGGTGTGTCTGCTGCTGATGCCAACAGGATGTCCTGCTGCTGCTGCTGCTGCTGTGTGACGCCCAGCGGGGAGCTGCTGGAGGGTGAAAATCACACACACAACACGCAGTTTAAATACACACAACACGCAGTTTAAATGCACACAACACGCAGTTTAAATGCACACAACACGCAGTTTAAATACACACAACACGCAGTTTAAATACACACAACACGCAGTTTAAATACACACAACACGCAGTTTAACAACACGCAGTTTAAATGCACACAACACGCAGTTTAAATGCACACAACACGCATTTTAAATGCACACAACACGCATTTTAAATGCACACAACACGCAGTTTAAATGCACACAACACGCAGTTTAAATACACACAACACGCAGTTTAAATGCACACAACACGCAGTTTAAATACACACAACACGCAGTTTAAATGCACACAACACGCATTTTAAATGCACACAACACGCAGTTTAAATGCACACAACACGCATTTTAAATGCACACAACATGCAGTTTAAATGCACACAACACGCATTTTAAATGCACACAACACGCAGTTTAAATACACACAACACGCAGTTTAAATGCACACAACACGCAGTTTAAATGCACACAACACGCAGTTTAAATACACACAACACGCAGTTTAAATGCACACAACACGCAGTTTAAATACACACAACACGCAGTTTAAATGCACACAACACGCAGTTTAAATGCACACAACACGCAGTTTAAATGCACACAACACGCAGTTTAAATGCACACAACACGCAGTTTAAATACACACAACACGCAGTTTAAATGCACACAACACGCAGTTTAAATGCACACAACACGCAGTTTAAATGCACACAACACGCAGTTTAAATGCACACAACACGCAGTTTAAATACACACAACACGCAGTTTAAATACACACAACACGCATTTTAAATGCACACAACATGCAGTTTAAATGCACACAACACGCATTTTAAATGCACACAACACGCAGTTTAAATGCACACAACACGCATTTTAAATGCACACAACACGCAGTTTAAATGCACACAACACGCATTTTAAATGCACACAACACGCAGTTTAAATGCACACAACACGCATTTTAAATGCACACAACATGCATTTTAAATGCACACAACACGCAGTTTAAATGCACACAACACGCAGTTTAAATGCACACAACACGCAGTTTAAATGCACACAACACGCATTTTAAATGCACACAACATGCAGTTTAAATGCACACAACACGCATTTTAAATGCACACAACACGCAGTTTAAATGCACACAACACGCATTTTAAATGCACACAACACGCATTTTAAATGCACACAACACGCAGTTTAAATGCACACAACACGCATTTTAAATGCACACAACACGCAGTTTAAATGCACACAACACGCAGTTTAAATGCTCTAAATGATTATTAGAAGAAAATAAGAAGAAAACTGCAGTAAAAGTGTTGAAAAAGGTCAAACAATCACTTTATTCAATTTCATGTGCATAAAAATATCTATTTCATCCAGTGACTCATCAGATGCATGTGAATAATACTAGAGACTTTTAATTAGGACAGATTTGTAGTTCTTTATAAATATGATATTTTCCTAACAGACAGATAAAGACGCTGCAGTGTCTGCAGGTCAAAGGTCACCTGAGTCTCTCCTGCAGGGATCAGGAAGAAGGAGCGGCTGGTGAGAGGAAGGGAGGAGGAGGAGGAGGAGGAGGAGGAGGAGGAGGAGGAAGGGCAGAGCCGTAGGAACATGGACGTGTCTCTGCTCAGGGAACAGTACAGGTGCACCAGAGAGAGACAGAGGAGACACACTCAGGTGCTTCTGTTCAGGACAGGTGAGGAATCAAACTCACGTCGCGCTGAGGAAAGTGTGCTGGAACATGAAGCGATACAGGCGGGAACATGTTGGTGGAGGGAAAAGTTTAGTTTCAGGGAGAAAATGTTTGTTTTAAACTGCGTGAAGTTGATTTCCTTCTCTGTTCGGGATCGTGTCAAGCCAACAGAGACTTCCTGTTAGAGATTTCAAAATAAAAGCATTCGCAGCACTGAAGCTTTAAAGGCAGCTTTACTGCTCTGGCTGTGATGTAACTGCTGCTTTAATACTGTAGTTTCACTGTTGGCTTGTTAATGTGTCAAGGAGGTTTTAATGTACTTAAATGTACATGTACAGAATGTGGTAATATTCTCCTCCTCCTCTCTCCTCTCTCCTCCTCCTCTCCCCTCTCTCCTCTCTCCTCCTCTCCCCTCTCTCCTCCCTCCCCCTCTTCTCTCCTCTTCTCTCCTCCTCTCCCCTCTCTCCTCCTCCCCCTCCTCTCTCCTCCTCTCTCCTCCTCCCCCTCCTCCTCCTCCTCTCTCCTCCTCCCCCTCCTCCTCTCTCCTCCTCCCCCTCCTCCTCCTCCTCTCTCCTCCTCCCCCTCCTCTCTCCTCTCTCCTCCGCCCCCTCCTCCTCCTCCTCTCTCCTCCTCCTCTCTCCTCCAGTCTCGGAGGAGCTGTCGGAGGCCGTCACCATCATCCCCGTCACTCAGGGCTTAATGTCGCCGTGGGAACCGAACAGCAGCTCGCCGCCGGCTGTGACCTTTGACCCCGACCCAACGACCTACGACCCCTGGCACGTCCACCTGGACCTCCACCGGCGCTCCTGCCCCGGGTTCCCCGCGCTGCTCCCAGCCTCGTCCTCAGAAACAGCAAACACCAGCGGTTCCTCTCGGTCAGTCAGACGCTGAAACACTCAGGTGGATCAGGTGGAACCACATGACCCGGCTCAGGAAGCTGGTTTCTTCCTGGGTCCTGTCAGTCCTGGTACCTGGTCTAACTGTCCTCAGGTCCCTCTGGGATCTGGTCTGAGCATATTCCCCACACGTCTCGTGGACCCGTGAGAAAAAGGCTGACAGTTTCCTCCATCTTTATTTTCCAGGCGGTCCTCATCTTCCTCTGAGGCCGGGGTCCCCCGTCAGGATGTGGATTCACCTTCAGATCCACCTGGCTGCTCCAGAGAAACGTCTCCCTGCAGCTCCTTCAAAGAGGAAGATCTCCTCAGCAGGTCCAGAGGAGACCCAGATCCCGGATCCTCCGAGAGACCCGGAGGAGGCTCCCAGAAGGATCCGGTCCAGGTTTCCGTGTCCGATGAACAGGAGCGTTCTGCCGCCGGCTCCCTCACCAGCTCCGATGGGAGCTCCACCCCCGTCGCCTCCTGCTCCCCCAGCGGCTCCACCGCCAGCCTCCACGAGGGCCAGAACCAGAACCGGGTCGCCGAGAGAAGAACCAGTAACGCCGCCCTGCAGACCGGCGGCCCCTCCAGGAAGTTCTCGGCCCCGGCCCTCCGGTTCACCAGAGGGGTGAGCGTAGGAGGAGTGGGCTCCTCTACGGGGGTCCACCAGAACCAGACCTACCACCCGTTCCCCAGCAGGAAGGCCCCGAGGATCTCCGAGGCCGCCCGGAGGCTGGGGATGTACTCGTCCTTCTGAGGAACAGAAGAGCTCCAGCTGTCAGTCAACACGTGACTCTCTGAGATTAATACCAAGAAATTTAATAAGTTGTGAATAACTAACTTCCCTGGTGAAATAAAGTTTAAATAAAAATATCATGTCATTTATATTTTTATTTTATCTCCGCTGTGACAATTTTCATCAATGTTTTTTTCTTTAAAACATTTAAAAATTGTTCATATCTGTTTATTTGAATCAATATTACAGATGTTGTTTGGTTTAATTACTGCTGCTCCTGACCTGCCAGTAAATAAACACATGAACATGAACGTTAACTCTTCAGTCTTTAAGTGTTTAGTGTTATCAGTGATAATAAAGCGTCAGATTTGCTCCAGTTGAAACAGGATTTCATGTCTTATTGAACAAAACTTTCTGCTTGTCCAATATTAAATTAATAAATAAATAATTATGAATATAGTGGAACAAACAGAAGTATAACAGTAATACATAAAAAGACATAAATAACAATAACATTTCCCCGGATAGTCCATATTATTATTAATACGGTCTCTTGACTGAGAACCTTCACAGACATCTTGTTACAAAATTAGTTTTTTCTTTTACTGCTGAAAATTAATACAATTAATATAAAGTACTTTTATTATCAGTATTTCATGTTTTATAGAACAGAACTGTCCTTTTTTTGTGCAATATTAAATAAATAAATAAATCATAACCAATTTTTTATAGATAAATTTGACCCTCATACGGCGCCGTAGTTCATCAAAGATCGTCTATCTCGCCTGACGCAGGTGACGCAGCTGACGTTCCCCGGAAGCGGAAACGTGGCCGGAGTGAGACCTCCTCCTCTGTTCGGAGCCCAAACACAACAAGAAGCTGCCGTCCTGCGGAGCCAGAGCCGGTTTCAGGAGCGAACAGGTACGTGGCCGCTCGTCCTCTCCCGTTAACGAGCCGCTCCGAGAGACCTGCTCCCGGCTGGAGACCTAAACCTGCAGCTCGTGTCAGTCAGCTGCGAGTTAGAAACCAACTGCGTCACTGAGCAGCATCACGGGGGAAAGTCCGAACACCGAGCAGCTGGTCGAGGCTCCTACGGGCCAAACACGACACGTTCAAGAGCCCGACCTGCTGCTCCTGTCTGAGCTCTGCCGTAAAACTCAAGTTTGGAGACAGATTTAAAAAAGAAAGCGAGCCTGCATTTCCCACAATGCACCTGGGCGGTGTGAGTCACGTTGGGTCTCCCCCTGAGAAGTTTCCCAGACCGGTCCGGCCGGTCAGCTGAGACCCGATCAGGGTCACAGACAGGAAGGAAAACAACGAGTGACAGGGTGAAGGTCCACTACAGAGTCAGACCTCCAGGGTCAGCTGATCCAACCATGTAGATCTCAGGACAGCGTCACGAACTCATTCTCCTTAAATAAACATCCTGTTTTATCCTAAAGAAGTGTAGAGAGGCTCATGTCCCTCTGAGGTCGTCCCACTTGCAGACCACGTCCACACACCAGCTCTTAATAATGTGGTTCTAAACCAGCCGGTGGAGCCAAAGACGCGCGACAATAAAGATCCTTTAAAAACCTTCAGCTTTCTGTTTCTACACCAGCAGAACGTGTTTTCTTCTCTTTAGCCCGACAGTAATCACCTCCAGTCCTCTGTCGCTGCTTTCAGACACGATGGCGGAGCAGAACACGGAGGCCAAGCTGAAGAACCAGCTGAAGCAGGAGAAGATCCAGCTGTGGAACCCGCCGTACACCGAGGACGACAACCAGCCGGGCCTGCGGCACATGCAGGTCAGCAGGACGCAGCGTTATTCTGGAGACCAACCCCGCTGCTGCCGCAGTTTTATTATTTCTCTTTCATTAGTAATGTGTAACAGCAACAACCTCTGATTCTGGAATACATTTAACATATTATAAAAACACATAAATAAATAATTAACACACACATTAACCCTCTGATATTAATATCTGATAAAAAGGTGGTCAGATCAGTAATTACATTGGTAAATATGATATATTAAATATATTATTTTTCATTAATTTATACGTGTAAATATGTAACTAATAAACTAAGTAACAGATTTAGAATAAAGTATAAATATCTTGTACTGCGTTTTGACCTCTGTGGTGTTGATGCGTGGCAGGAGCTGGCGGAGCGCTACGCCCTCTTGCTGTGCCTGCAGGTGTCGGAGGTCGGCGGCGCTCTGGAGGCGATCCGGGCGCAGGCGGTGAAGAGAGGGAAAGGAAACAAGACGTTCAGAGAGACGAACGTGGCCACGCTGGAGCTGCTGCTGCCCCGAGACAGCCGGAAGGTCGGTCACATGTTGTTCTGTTCAGTGCAGGTTCGCTCGTTTCTGTTTAATCTGAAGGGGGAGGAGCTGCTGAGGCGTCCTGCTGCCTAACCTGTGCTACTGTTCAGCTGCTGCAGAGCCTACTTTACAAACAGCTGCACGATGATTTAAAGCTGCACTGTTAGTTACTGCTGCGATTGTTTTGTTCCTGCCAAATTCAGATTTTCTTTCTCTGTGACAAACATTTTGTGAAAGAATACGATGACCTTTCTGGGAGGTCTGGTTTCCTCTGAGCGTCACAGCTGATCCTCAGAAGAGGAAACAGGAAGTGACTGACGGAGAAACTGTTGTTTGTTTCAGGACCCAAAGACAAAGAGCCACCTGGAGACGAGGCTGGACGTGCTGGTGCAGGAGGTGGTGGACAGGTACACACACTCTAACACACACTCTAACACACCAACACACACACTAACACACACTCTAACACACACTCTAACACACACTCTAACACACCAACACACACACTAACACACACTGTAACACACACTCTAACACACACTCTAACACACTCTAACACACACTCTAACACACACTCTAACACACACTCTAACACACTCTAACACACTCTAACACACTCTAACACACACTGTAACACACACTCTAACACACTCTAACACACACTCTAACACACTCTAACACACTCTAACACACTAACACACACTCTAACACACTAACACACACACTAACACACTCTAACACACTAACACACACTCTAACACACTAACACACACTCTAACACACTAACACACACACTTACACACACTCTAACACACCAACACACACTCTAACACACTAACACACACACACTTACACACACTCTAACACACCAACACACACTCTAACACACACTCTAACACACCAACACACACTCTAACACACACTCTAACACACTAACACACACACACTAACACACACTCTAACACACAGTGTTTGTTTCTCTGCTGCAGGATCGGAGAGGAGTTCGGCCTCAAATCCATCAAACTGATCCTGAACGGGAAAACTCTGTGTGTGGGTGAGTCCAGACGCCGGCAGCTGAGACTCTGTCTGTGGAGTCGAGCTGCAGCCATTCAGAGATTAACGATCGACTATTAAATCAGTCTGCAACTTTTTTGATCATCGATCTGTTCGGTTTGAGACGTTGTTTAAGAAAAGTGTAAATTTTCTGATTTCTTAGATGTGAAAAAGAAACGTTTTCTCGCCTATGATGGATGAAGTGTAAAATCAGCAGCTGTGTGGTCCCAGTACACTTTACAGAAGACAGAGACACGTAAAGTTTGCAGAACTGGATAAAAAAGGCTGACAACACATAAGAAACACACATTAAAAAACAACAATAAAATACACAATTATAAAACTAATATTAGATACAATAAAATAAAACAATTAAAATGTATAAAACTTCATAAAATACCCTAACCCAAACTATAAGCAGTCTCTCAAAATACAGAAAACCCGTCCCTAACTAAAAGCTTTACTAAAAACCAAAGTTTCTAGCCTACTCTTAAATATGGAAATGTTGGTTGCTTCATGAACCCAGACAGGGGTCTGATTCCACAGCCGAGGGGTCTGATGGCTAAAGGCTCTGGCTCCTATTCTACATCTGGAGGCCCTCGGCTGTACAAGCAGCCCTGTTCTGGTGGCGCAGCATGGTGTAAGGAGTTCTGTCATACAGGATGGTGCCTGACCATTAAGGGCTTTGTATGTAAGGAGAAGTATTTTAAACCGGGAGCCAGTGCAAATGATGCCGAGCTAACTGGTTGGTTTCGTCAGGTCTGATAGAAAGGTAAAACTGAGTATCATCAGCATAACAATGAAAATCTATACTGTGGCTCCTGATGGTATGACCTAGCAGAAGTATATACAAGGTGAATAATGTAGGTCCAAGGACTGAACCTTGTGGAACTCCATGGGTGACGCTGTGCAGAGAGGACTCATCGTTCAGATGTACAAACTGGGCGCGATCTGATAAGTAGGATTTAAAGCAGTTTAAAGCAGTTCCTTTAATACAGATGTACAAGTGTTCAAGTCTCTGTAGTAAAATATGGTGGTCAACTGTATCAAATGCCGCACTGAGATCTAACAAGACCAGTAAAGAGACTAGTCCCTTATCTGATGATGTTAAAAGATCATTAGAGAGTTTCACCAGTGCTCTCTGAATTCACAGAGTTGATTTGCCACGATTTTGGAAATGAAAGGGAGGTGAGATATCGGTCTGTAACTGTCTAAAACCCCTGGATCAAGAGCAGGCTTTTTAAGAAGTGGTTTAATAACCGCGTCCTTAAAGACCTGAGGTACAACAGAGGTAGATAATATTTAACAAAGAAGCGCCAACTGAGGTCATCGACTGAAGGCAGGAGGTGCTGAATTATGGAGGTGCAGCACTGGGACTAATGGTTAGTAGTCATGTGGTCTCTGTAATGTCTCTGTGCTTTAGACCAGAGTCTGGAGACGCAGGGTGTGAAGAACCACAGCAAGGTGATGGTGCTGAAGGTGAGCGACGCCGAGCTGAAGCAGCAGCTGAGCGAGGAAGAGGAGAAGAAGAAGAACCAGAACGAGAGCATCCAGAGGACCCAGAAGGGCTTCCAGATCCTGTCTGAGAGAGGTAACGTCCGTCCGTCCGTCCGTCCGTCTGTCTGTGATCAGGCTGTGGGAGGAGTCTCTGCTCTAACGCCTCTCTGCCCGCCAGACGGCAGCGAGGACCCGGACACCACGCCCGTCCTGGAGATCGCGGACCAGAGAGGAAACCCGCTGAAGATCCCCCACAAGGAGAAGAAGGTAGGGAGGAGGAGGGAGAGCGCCCGAGGAGTCCGGGTCCAGGTTCATCAGAATCTAATGTGTGTCTCTGCGCATCAGGCCCTGATCCTCGCCATGGGTTTCCACGAGAAAGGTCGCTCTCTGATGAAGAAGAAGCAGTTCGACAACGCTCTGTGTCACCTGCTGCAGGCCGACCAGCAGTTCAGGTAGCGCACGCTCTGATGTCACTGTGACGCTTTATGTTGATGACGTTTAATGTTGTGTGTTAGTTTTTCATCAGGG